GGGGGTGCGAGGGGGTCGCGTGGGGAAGGGGTTCGCTATTGTTCTCCGGGCGGAGGCCGGGGGTTTCCATTGTCCTGGGTGGGGAATGGAGCCGCATTGTTCTGCGGGAGGGGGGGGCTGGACGGCGGGGAGGGGGCACAAGGGGGGGCCGGCCCTTCTCGGGGTCCCCCTTCTCCGTGGGGAGAGGGAGCACTCGCTGCTCCGGGGGAGGGGGGGCTCTCCTCGCTGCTCTCGGGGATGGGGGGCAGCACAAAAAAGGCTCCTCTATTGTTCTCTGCGGGGAAGGGGAGGGGGGTCCCGGCTGGGCTGCGGGGACGGGGATGGGGGGTCCCGGCTGCCTGTCGGGAGGCGATGGGGGGTCCCGTCGGCCCTCAGCGGGGGGGTCCCCGACCCCCTCCGCAGCAGGCTAAGCGCAGACCCGAGGTGCGCCCCGCGCTGCCCCCGCCGCGCCCGGGACGGCTCCGCATCCCGGGGCCGGGGCGGACGCGACCCACCGAGAGGAACGGGACAGCCCCGGGGGGCTCCGCATCCCGGCACCGGTGGGGGGGACGGGACACGCGGAAAGGAGCGGGGGAACCTCGGGGGGCTCCGCATCGCCGGGGCCGCAGCCGGACGGGAGAGCCCCGGGGGGCTCCGCGCAGCGGCCGCGTGGCCCCGACGGGACCCCCGCCCGCCCCGCGCCCACCTTGCGGGAACCGCCCGGTGCTGCCGGTACTCACAGGAGAGCGGGTCGGCGCGGGGCAGGAGCGGGCAGAGCACGAGCAGCAGCGGGAGCATCGGGAGCAGCGGCGGCGGCGGCATGGCCTGCTCCGGTGCCCGTCGGTGCCCGGGGCGGCGGAGCGCACCGGCACGTCCGGGGAAGTCCCGAGCAAGTCTGAGCAACCCCCGGTTACCAAAGCCCCAACTGCCGCCCTGGCCCCGCCCCGGGACCGCCCCCGGGGGGGCAGAAAGCCACCGGCCCCGCCACCCCCCCACACCCCGTCCCGATCCGGTACCGGCTCCGGGACAGACCCCGGAACCGGCTCCAGGACTGGCCCCCGCCCGGTGCCCGCTGCCGCCGCGGGATGCTGGACCCCCCCGCCCTGGCGGGGCCGGTGTCCCGCTGCCCCCGACCCCCCCGGTAGGTGAGTAAGAGCCGCCCCGGGGCCGCCGGCCCACGGGTGAGTCACGCGCGGACCCTCCCGCGCCCCCGGGGCCGCTCTCGCAGCCGAACGGGCCCCCCCCGCCGCGGCTTCCCCACGCTCCGAGCGCCTTTGAGATCCAAACCCCGGTTATTGCTTATTTTTGGGTTGGAAACAGGAATATCATCCCATAAATCCCGATGTTCTCTATCCATCATCTCCAGGCTTTCCTCCTCGAAACCCCAACGAAGTGGAAAAACCACCCTAAGCGGCTCCAAGTCCCCCCAGACTGGGGCTGCGTTTGTCCCCGGGGGTGGTGACATGTCCGGTTGTGCCACCAGCATCGGGACAAAGCCACCCACTCGGGCATCCCCCAGCGTCCCCCCCGTGCCCCCCGCCCGGGGTCTCGGTGGCACCGAGAGCTTTGCAGCCCCCCAGACAGGTCCCAGAGCCGCGGGACAGCAGCTCCTGCTCATGGCAAGGCCACTGTCCCCGCGTGTGGCGTGTCCCCAGCTGTGAGGAGAGGGGACACCATTCCCTGGGGGGAACGGAGCATGGAGGGTGGCAGGGGACGCCTGGGTGGCCCGGGGTGCCCCCATGGACTCGGGGTGCGGGGAACCGGGGGGTGACACTGCGTGAGGCTCCGAGGTGCTGGGCACCAGCAGGGATTGCAGAGAATAGAAAACACAACAAAAAAACGAGAGGGGGAGGGAGCCCAAACAATGCCTTTTCCCATCGTCCTGTTTTTTGGAAGCTTCTGAACTGTTTTTGTTGAAATTTCCCAAAAATGTCAGGCTCCGGGAGCCACCCAGCCTGAGAAACTTCAGCCCCAGCGGCCGCAGTCTGGCCGAGTGAATCACGGCTGCCCCGGGGGCTGGCGGACGCCCGCGATCCCGACCCACCGCCCGCATCCCCCCGGGAAGGCACCCGGGGACCGCAGCCAGCGCTGGGTGCTGGGGGAAAAGGAGAAATTCCCTCGGAGGAGCCGGAGCCGGCAGCAGCGGCCACCCCGGCTGCCCACCTGCACTGCCCAGCCCCTTCCCCCATCTGTTTTCTCCATCGCCGGCCAGGCTCCTCAGCTCGCACCCGGAATTTGGGGGATTTAGCGGAGCCAGGGATGGGCGGGATCCCGGGGAGGGGGTGACCCCTGGTGCCGGCAGGGGGGACATGGGTGGCTCTGGCAGAGGAATCATCAGAAGGTGGCTCGAGGCTGTGCTTGGGGTGCAGGGGGAAGATGAGGGGACAGTGGCGTGGGGAGGGGGCAGCGTCGGTCTCCTCTGGTGTCACAGGGGACATCGCGGGCTGCCACCCCAGCTGGCACAGGGACGTTTGAGCTCCCAGCAGCACCTGTGGGATGGAGACACGGTGAGGGGAGAGAGCGGTCCCCAAGCCCGGGCAGTGCCAGGGTGGCGTCAGGACCCGTCCTGGAGCAGCCGGAGGTGACCGAGCCGCTCTCTGAGTCAGCGGCGGCCGGTCAGCGGCAGCTGTGGTCAGCGCTGCCCTTTGACAGTGACCTTTAAAGCCGCTCCCTCCGGCCCACGAGCCGCCTCACTCAGGCACCGGCCGGAGGCAGGATCCAGCCCCGCTCCCCCCGCGACCCCCGGGCTCCCGGCTCAGCACGGGGGTCCCCCGAGGCCGGCGCGGTCCGGCTGCCCCCCCCGGCGTGGCTCCGTTCCCAGGGCCTCTCTGCCCCGCTGCGGTGCAGGATCTGGCCATGGGGCCCGGCTCCCTGCTCTGCCCAAGAGGGACGTGACTCCCCTCAGAGGGACGCGGGTGACCCTGGTGACATCCCCAAAGCCACTCCGAGCATCCTCGGTCCAACTTCCCACCAGCCGTCACCTCCCCGCCACCCTCCGTCATGTGTCACCAGGGCCCTGAATTAATCTAATTACTTGATTTCCCAGCCAGAGCTCACTCCATAAAATCCTTGGACGCAGACAGCATCTGGCTCAAGGGCCAGGGTGTAAAAAACAAACACTAAAAAAAACCCCAAATCCCGGGAAAAGCGGGAGGAGAGGCGCAGCCGAGCTGCCTCGACTGCCTGCATCCTTTTAAAGTGACCTGGGGGAAAAATAAAGAGGCAAGAAATGCAAAGAATCCAGCAGGCAGAGTTTGCTTTCTATTCCTCTCAGTCACATTTCCACATCCATGGGTAATTTATAACCCGCTTAACCCCTTCCCTGCCGCCCCTCCGCACCTTTTCCCTCCAGAGCATCCTCAGGGTGGCCGCACCTTCCCGCCTCTGTTTGCTTTGGGAAGCACAAGCAGTCCCGTGACGGAGTCTGAGGAGCTCTAGAGGAGGGGAAAAAATGCCAAGAGGGTGCTTGAGCACGAGGGATGGGCTCTGCAGGGCTAGGACGTGGAGTGAAGGGTCCCCTGCCCATGGAAGGGACCGTGGGGACACCCCAGAACAATGCGGGGGGAGCCTGAGGCTTCCCGAAAGGCTCCGGGGAAAAAATGTAGGTCAGTAGTGATAAATGCGAAAGGCATCGAGTGTTTCTGGAGAGGGGAGGAGGGAGGGCAGCAAGTGTCGGGTGTTTTTGCCTGGGAAAGGCTTTTTCTCCCTGGAAAGGTGAGCGGATGGAGCTCGGGCAGGTGCGGAGGGGGCGATGCCCACCGGCCGCTGCAGCGGGAGGATCCCGGTGCCCCCGGGGGGCTCCGGCTGTGCCGCCGGTGGAAGCCCCGCCGTGATTTACGGTGACAGCCTCCAATCTAGCCCATTTTCTCGGCCATTCGTCACCGGTGGCGGACCCGCGGCCGGGGCTGGCGGGGCTCCAGGAGGGGGAAGGGGAGCGCAGCGCCCTGGCAGCCCCGCCGGCCCGGCCGCAGCTCATTTTCCGCCGGCCCTGCTTTGATTAATAAGATGAATAAACTGGCGGGGAGAGGAGAGGCCCCGCTCCCTGCTCCCGTGGGGGGCACGGGCCTCGCCCCCCAGCACCCCCAACCCCTCTCTCCCTGCCCCAGGACACGGAGCACCCCTCAATCCTGAGCTGGGACAGGGAGACCCCCCCCCCCCTTTCCCCCCCCCGGGG